AATCATACCCACACGAAGTCGCATTTAGATTCAGATATGTACCAGATTGCTGGAAAGTATAAGTCATCATTCTACGGAAACCGGATAAGCCATCGAATGATATAAAATCATCATGGCCAATATCATTGCTTCCAATCATGTCGAAGATATTCGAAAAGTTTCTCTTAAAGAGATTAAAAACGATACCACCTCAATATGTTCAATTTGGAATCCTTTCTAACAGGACAATTTTTGAAAATAGTGGGACAGAAAGCGGAATAATCAAATTTCAAAGAATCAATGCAGGTGCTCAACAAGATAGTGTTTTAGGACCATGCTTGTACCTGCTTTACATATATGACTTACAGCGACGAAGTAACTATAGCTAAAAAATACGCTGTAAAAAACTATTGACAAAGTCGAATAGTGGAAACAAAAATGGATAGTCGAATTCAATGAGTTGAAGTCCTCCAGGTAGGAAGAACTAAACATCAGAGTGCGCAAACAGTGTGGACTCTCTACTCAAAATAAATTGATTGTATGTATACAATCAGATCCTTATAGCGATCTATGTGTATGATATTCAAATGTGGAGATTCGCATACGATAGCAATGTCATGACAATTCAGATGTGACAAAATAGGATGATGATATATGCTGTGTGATAAATTCGAAATGTAAAGTTACATGAAGACTTAAAGATTCCTTCTGTTAAAGAGAAAACCAAACAGATTACCGGTAAGCACGAAGACCACCTTCATCGATACCCAAACGTACAGATTCAACAGCTGCTTTCAACATTAACCTTTACCGTCAACTTAAAAATCGTTCGAATTAATATATAGTGAGTGCGAAAAAGCAAAGCAGAGTACGAGAGTGACTATATTATAGTTACTTCATAATTATAAACTAGCAGAAGAATTATGAGATATGAATTGATGACTGATCGTACTAATGCACCGCACCATATTGGTGTTTAATAAAAATGTCATTGTTTGGAAAACTATAAAATCATAGGAAACGTCGTTACCGTTTATAAACGTGCTGGTTGAAAAAACGTTAGATCTGAACGTTTTCTTATCAATTTATTTGATAAATAAAAAGACTTAGGTAAGATATCAAATAATTTGTAACATGAAGAATCTTAATTTTTGAATTATTAAACAACTCGTATATTTATCAGCAAAGAGGGATTATGCTAAGATTTATACAAACCGCAGGCTTCTAGCTTCTCTATTAGATTTCGCCGAGTTACTGCTAAATAGCACGAAACTAGTTCATTGGAAAATAGAAATAGGCTTGTTCGAAATCGTAACCCGAGGGGCAATAATATATTAAGATATTTAGATGAGAATCCTGAATGGTATATTAATAACGGAGTAAATTCATTTGAACTAATTCTTAAAATGCTCAACAAAAAAATAAAAGTAGTAAATATATTCTCATTCAACAATTGACCACAATAAATCCTATAATGTATTTATAGGTTTGAATTTTGTGGTAGAATATGTAACAAATAAGTGAAGATCCTGCTTTGTTGACAAATATTTTATAAATTAAGGAAGTTTTCTATCATCACACGAAAATTTAATCAACAAAACCTGAGATATTGGTCAACAAGAATAGAATAATGCGACTAATATTCTTCGATTTTAATTTAAATAACCAAAACTATTATAATTCTACCTTATTGAAGAAAAAAAAAATTTGGCAATAGGATGGCGAATGTACTCATAATATCAGAGTAGGGCTAAAAAAAATTAAGGGATTTAATAAACCGCTTAAATAATGAAAACACAGAAATGATAGTTAATGGATTAAACAATATGACGAAAAATTATAGGTTTTTGTTTGCAATAAGAAGACAAAAATGTATCAAAAGTACAGCACTACTTTTCGCCAAGTTAAGGATAAGCTGACTCTTCTATTGATGTAATACCGTTTAGGAATGGTTCACGTCAAATCTAACAGAATTTAACAGTACCACATTAATATTTAGTGTCTTCTGTAGCTCAAACCAAATACATATAGGATAGCAGTACATTTCCAAATTACCTATATCCATAAGGTGGTCATCCCATGTGAATGGTTCAAAAAATCGATTTTTTATATAAATTGAATTGATGTAACTGCTTGAACCTCAACCACGTTAAACGTTTAAACACGTTTTTCTCAAAACTGTTTTTCATAACGGTAACGATGATATCTCGAAATCTATCGAACGAATACTTTTTAAATTTGAACGACTTATTCAGTACTCATGTAGGCATTTTACAAACTAGGATAATTCTGATTCGTTAAGTCGTTCCTTTTTTTAATAGTGAGATCGTAAAAAAACACCAGAATCAAAGAAAAAAAATTCAACACGATGCTAAAACATTCCGTTCCAATATTTTTCAATAATCGTACTTCAAAAACGACTACATATTTATTAATGACTTCAATGTTGTTTTTTTTATTTCTGATAAGTAGAACGCCTGCAGTAATGGTCACCGCAAAATACTGTTTTTTGAAAATGAGTGGCTAAGTTACCATGTATTTTAGCTTAAATGTGCACAAAATATGAATAAATATATGATGAAAAGTTCGTATTTGGTTCCAACAGCTTCAACTTTTGGCCATACTACTTTTGTTATTGCAAATCGTTTCAACCAATTTCTATTGTTCCCCTATCCTTGGAGAATCAACGGAGTGTGCATATATGCGCTTAATGTACCTACAGCCACAGAGCTGTTATAATGTAATTATTTCAATGTGATCATAATCATTATTATTACTGCTGCATTAGCTACATTAGCAACTCTGAAATAGATCCTGGAATCTAAAAGATAGAAATAACACAGGAATCGTTTTTTAGTTTTACATTTTTTTTTTAAATATAATTTTGTATTGTAATTGTGGTACAGATTTTTATTATTGAACTTTGAGTTAAGATTAAAATTTATAGTCGTTGAAACTGCACAGGAGAAAATAAGAAAAAATGTTTAAGTCTCATTAAAACGTTCTTTTTTACATTTTTGGAATTCTGTTGGAAATTCTAAGAGCCCTACTTAAAGTTTTACTGATTATTGGTATCCGTCGTGGAATTGTGATTCTAATTAAGACGGCTACGATTGTTGGAAAAGATGCGAGTACGCAAAATTTTCTAAGTCCCTCGGGAATATTTTATTTTTGTTATTTTTGAGTTTTTGCAAGCAGTTTTACCAACCCCTATCTAATATTTATTTCTAAACAGAACTATTTTTTATTTCTATATAAAGCTTTAGAACTCTAGCTCTCTTTAGTGCTATCAGAACTATAAACCTTTTTATCACATTTTCAAATAGTAGTCTATCTTCACAGGCATATAATTGTTGGTGATAATGGCAACACAACTAGATTACTTTTCCAAAATATGCACAAGACAAAGATTATAATGGATGTCGTTGATGTGACGTATATTTGGAAATTTTTGGATATTTTTAATACTTTATGAAAATCCCCGATATAAATCTATATTTGCAGATATAAGTAGTTGATATGAATTATGTTTTTAATGCATTAATTATACATGATAAACTCAGACTTTAGCACTTTAGCACTTTAGTGTAATGTAAACTAAAATAAGTAAGTATTAAGTATACTTTTGCATTTTGTTCTTAATAATAAGATATACGTAAATAGTTTATTGTTTCTTTAATGATTAATTATAACAACTATGTTCTAAGGATTTCCGATTTTCAACTTTATACCAACGCTCGTTTAAAAGTTTTCCGGTTTCACCAGCAAAACAACATCGCACCATTCTGCAATGACTAGATGAATCATAAATATTAAAAGTTGTGCTTAAATTCAACATGTATCTCAAGAACAAAAAGTGATTTGTCCAAACGGATATTTTTAGTTAAAAGTTTATTATTTAATGAAACGATTACTTCTAATTCAAATCTGCACTCCGTGAAAGTTTTTTAAAAATCTCCCTTAATAGCAATTTTTAATAATTTATAAATAAGTAGCGAAAAGGAAAAGGCAAACATTCAAAATCGTGGTCATTTATAAAAGGTTGTAGTTCTAAAAATAAGTGATTTCTCGAAACTTTTACTTTTATTGCACTCCAACTTTTCCAAATGATACGGTTTTTCAAACATATTTTTAATTTTTATGCGATCTAAATTTAAACTGAAATGTTAAAATGTTACAATTTCAAAATTTTGTATCACAATTCAAATAAATCATACTTTTATCCATAATCGAGTTTTCACATTTCTTTTTAGACTACTATAAACAAATTGGCAATTTTTCGAATTTGTGTGGGCACATTTGAAAATGTGTGGGCACATTTTAAGCTGTCAATTTATAATCAAAAAATAAAATTGATATCTCAATTCGAATTGTTTTATTGAAAATTCCATAAAAATTGAACAACAAACCGTTTTTTCACAATTGTAAAAGCAGGTTACATTAATAATTGAGTACGACGTCAAAACTGTGTATCTCAAAATTTAAAAGTGATTTTACAAAACGCTATTTGTATGGAAAAGTTCAAGCTTTCATTGACAAATCCCAAGAGTATCGCATAATTTCGAATGAAGAATTTTTAAGAATTCATTCCTCCATAATTTTTAAAAAAATTGTACTCAATTCTTTATCTTGATTAAACCATTATGTTATACTTAAGATATTTAGTAATTTTTAAGAAAAACGAGAATTTAATTTTTAGATGAATTAATATTAAATAAATCAATAAGTTATTCTATATTAAATAATTACTTAATTTCAAATTTTCCATTTATATAAAATTACAACAAGAGGAAGTTAAATTAAACGAAAATTGTATTGCAATATTTCCCTCTACATCCGTTTTCTGCATTTGACGTCATACTGGCCTACAAATTGTATACGAGTCGCCATATTGCATTGATAAAGAATTGTAATGCAAAAATCCTATTTATAATCGTACCTCTAAATTAAATAATTATTTGAAAATTAATTGTAACCATTGTAATAAAATATCCACTAAAAAGGAAAGATTTACGACTTACTTGCATGGATCCCAAACGACAATTCCCTGACCGGGACAATCCACTTCGTTGACAATTTCACACTCTCTTCTATCACAAACACAAGCAGGGGCTGTTAAACCACTACAGAAAACAACCAAAGTAACAAACGCGAGTAAAAGCGCACTTTTCATGTTCCAACTTTTCTTTTAATTAACGATTTCAACAAGTTTTTACGCCTCTTTAATTATTATTAATAAACTACAAATTACATTTTTTATTAACCAAATTTTTTAGATAATTTTTCTTCTTTTATACAATTTTTTTTAATTAATTTTTTTTCTTAACTTTTGAATCACTTTTTACAAGTGAAAATGAATGTTATTGGAGTACAATTAAGTTCACATCACCATACAATCAGTTTGTTTAGTTTTTTATTATTTTTTAATATTGCGGTTGGGTTGGGTTTTTAGACGACTATTTGTTCGTGACGAACACTATCACCGTCAGAGGACACTACACAACACGGAACTGGCGTGAGAGTCAAGAAGCGAATGGAACCGAAGGAGTAAAAGCGCGCTTCTGATGGAATATTGGCGCGTGCGCCGGTTATCTTCAAAATTCATTGTAAAATATTATTCATTTTAAAACAGATAATAAGATGGTTGGTTAAAATTGTATTTGAAATTTAATAAAAACCTAAAAATTAAAATTTTTAATGGGTATTTCCGGTAGGTTATAATTTTTACAGAAATTACATCAAAAGAAAAGTATTATTGACTACTTTCTTGAATTCTATCATTTTTTGTCTTATCCCCACTGAAAAATGTAGTATTTAGAGTGATTTACTCGTTACCCCAACTGTTTTATAGAAAACTGGTTGACACAAGTTACATTCGCCAATCTTGTAGGGTTGCAATAAAATAAGAAGGAGTTAGAGTTAAGGAGCTTCTATATAATTAGATGCAGCGTTACAATTAATTTAAGTCTACTTTTAATCGCTGTACCGTGCGCGTCGGTTATATTTTAATTTTCCAATAAAATAAACCAAATAAATTTCAAGTTTAAAAGTTGTTTTAATTTAATTTGATTTTAAATAATATAAATTCTTTTTAAAAATCTTAACCGCTCGAAACGATTTGAAACTGGCGCAGTTATTCGGATTACTTGTACGAATACTGGAATTTAGTGAAAGTCTTCGGTGAATTTCAATTCTTCAACAAGTGAATACTACAAATGGAACTTAACGGCGACTTAAAAAGACGTTCACTGTACTTTAGCGAAGAAAGAAAAAGAGACCCACGGTGGAAGGTAAAATTCCTGAAATCAACGAACAAAAGGGTCGGATCAATATTTCTCATACCCGCGACACTCCACAGCGTGAGGATAATATTTCCCATACGCAACATACCCCCCAGTCCAGAGGATAGAATTTCCCAGAGACGACAACAAAGAAAAACCGAAGAAACGAACAAAGACGAAAAACCGAAAAGAACTTAGAATTAAGAAAACAGCTTTCCATGTCCGCAACTGACGACAACAACAACATCAAATTTATGTGCACCACAAGGACTATATTCTTACTGATAGTCCTGTCAGTGACTTCTTTTATATTTTTGTAAAACTGATATTTTCAAAATTGACGAATTATTAGCAAATTTCAACAATTTAAAATTAATAATGGCAAATGGAAATCCAGTTGAACCTGTTGCGAACATAAATAGGATAGATCAGATAACAACGGTTGAGGTTAATATTATTCCAAAATTTTCTGGTAATCGTGTGTCTTTACCGCTTTTGATTGAAGCATCAGAAAGTTTGATAAACAGACGAGCAAATAGGGTTAATGAAGATGATCCAATTAATTTTTATACATTACAAATTATAACATCTCGTTTTGAAAGAGATTTTGAAGGATAAATACATGGGTTGACATAAAATCATGCCTTGAATTAGCTTATAGTGACCAACGATCAGAAGATTATTTGCTAACTGACTTAATGAATATTTTTCCTACTACAAACGAAAATCCTTATTCTTTGGGTAATAGAATTAAAAATGTTTTAAATCTCTTGCTGACAAAAGTTAAGTTAACTGTACATCAACTTGCTGATAGACAATTAAAAATCAGCATGTACAAAAAAACTGCATTACAGACGTACTTGCGTTCATTGATGCAATATTCAGATTATGGAGAATATATTTATTTAAAAAATCTCGCAGATTTAGAAACTGTTATGCAAAATATTTTAGAAAAACCAAATTGGAAATATTATTGTAAGCAATCATCAAACATAAATCAATTTAATTCATCAAAGCAAAATTTATTAATTCCGGGAAAAGATTTAAATTTATCTCAAAATTCACAAAATAAAACAAATCCTTTAAATTTATCATCAAATTTAAATAGGATAAGAGCAATTGACAAATACCCACAATTCAATAGGAACCCTTTAGGTCGAACTCCACAATTTAATATGCAACCAGGGCCCATAACTTTTGCACAACCTAATTTCAATCAAAATCCTCAATTCAATCAACCAAATTATATGCAAAAATATCCACATCCAAATTCTAAACAAAATATGAAACCATTTGTACAACAAAAGCCACACATGCCAACTCCGATGGATGTAGATACCACCATGAGTAATTATAGATTAAATAAATCTAAAATAAACAACATTGAAGGTGCAAAAATTTATTACTTGCAAACACCATCATATGTAAATTTTAATTCAATGCAAGAAGAAATTACAAATGAAGAAACTCATAATTTTTGTCCTGAAATTTCTGAAGTAGACTCTGAAACAAATTTTCCTATAACAGCCTCACCACATCAGAATCCGTAGTACCTAGAAGTAAATTTTCAAAACTCTTCAAAATTACTTTACATCATGTTACCAGAATTAGATAATGTCAAAATTTTAATCGATGCAGGTGCAACACATTCGGCTATATCTTCAAAATTGACAAAAAAATATTTTCAAGAGTATTTTTATTATGATCCATATGTAGTAAAAACTATGCACGGATTAACAAAACATTATTATAAGTTGAATTTACCCAGCTTCAAAACTTTTAATGACTACGAAAACAATTATTGTTTCAATATAATAGATTTTTCTGAAAAATTCGATGGAATCCTAGGTAGCGATCATTTAGAAATGATGGGAGCTAAATTAGATTATCAATCAAAAACATTACAAACTAAAAATGCAAATATACCATTTTATTTTAATAAAACTATAATTAATGTACCACAACGAACAAGAGAAATTGTTAAAATACCTGCAATTAACAAGGAAGGACAATTTTTAATAAACCATTGCGAAATAATAAAAAACGTAGACATACCTAACGCATTAGTATCTAAGTGTTAATAACTACGAATGCTTAGTAGAGATAACAAAACTTCAGCGAATATCCTGTACAACTAAATTGTAATGCTGTGGAACTTGAAGAAATTGATTTAAAACATTATGAAACAAACAAAACGCTTACAAAACAACAAATAATTACAATTCAAAGAGAAAACTTTAGTAAAATGTTACGTTTAGATCACCTAAACAACGAAGAGAAATCGATGATAAAGAACTTGTTACATCAATATCCAGAAATTATACATGATGAAAGAATTCCTTTAACATTTCATTCCGAAACATAGTTTCCGATATTTCTGGTGGTTTTTATGACTTAATTGCAGTCATATAACGAACAAAGATGGAGTTGTATACAGGTAGTTTATGAACCCCAAACTCTGGCGTGAGTTGTTCAGGTCCACATTAACGAAAATTTCGATAACATAACATTTAAAAACTTAAATATCATTACATTGTGTGAAAATACAACAATTTATTTAAATCTATCTAAAAAGTACATTTGCTTAAATAATTTATGATTATTATTATAAAATTTATTATCTTTTCACACTAATTCTAAGATAATTATAAAAAATATGTTTTAATTTTTATATTATAAATTAATACTTGCTTTTTTTGTAAAATCATTTAAGTATAAGTAAATTTATATTCTTTACTACATTTCTGTTTTATTTTGTTGAATTTAAAATAACATAAAAAAGAAGTGCGTCCCTGGACCTAGTTCCCTAGGAGGACCTATCATAAATCATGGCCAGGTACTTTTTAGGGTTAAAATTACTGCCACTACTGTTTCTGAGGGTCATAAAAACCACCAGAAATATCGGAAACTATAAAACATGAAATAAATTTATCAGATGAAGTACCTGTTTACCAGAAGCCATATCGACAACCATATTTTCAACAAAAGGAAACAAAAAGGCAAATGGAAAATTTAAAATCACAAGAAATCATCAGAGATAGTTGTTCCCCATGGGCAAGCCCAATAGCGTTGTCATCCGGAAATCCAAAATCCTAAATGGAGGATGGTAATCGATTATCGGCGTCTTAATGACTAAACGATAAAAGATCGGTATACCTTGCCTAATATTAATGAGATATTGGATAAATTGGGAAGAGCGAATTATTCTTCTTGTTTAGACCTAGCAAGTGGCTATCATCAAATTGAACTAAAGGTATCAGATAAATATAAAACTGCGTTTATTATAAATGAAGGTCAATACGAGTTTGAGAGGATGCCATTTGGGTTAAGTAACGCACCCTCAACCTTCCAAAGGACGATGAACAGTAGATGTCTATGTTACGTTATGAACAGTCTATGTTACGAGGCCTTACCGAGGATATATGTCATGTCTACCTGGACGATATTATTATATTCAGTACCTCATTACAAGAACACAAGGTACGTTTACAAAAGGTATTTGAAAGACTAAAACAGAATGGAGTTAAGATATCTTTAGACAAGTGAGATTTTTTAAAAAAGGAAATCAAGTACTTGGGACACTTAATAAGCGAAAAAGGAATAAAAGCCGATCCTTCAAAAATCGAAGCAATACAAAAATTTCCCTTAGCCAGAACTAAACGTGAAATAAAATCATTCACAGGTTTATTGGGATATTATCGAAAATTCATTAATAACTATGCAAAATTATTAAAATCAACAACACAATATTTAGCCAAGGATAAAGAAATTGAATTTACACAGACTGTACTTTTCTTTTCAAAAGTATAACCTCAGCTAATTTTAATAACTTTGTATAAAAATCTTTTTTGATGTTTTAGTTTGTAAGGTAAAGTATTTGTTTAAGTTAATGTTACTTTGTATTGTTATCTTGAAAATAATTCTAAAATAAATATCTATGAATTAGCAATATCATAAAGATAACAAGCGTTTTTTTATTATCAC